TAGGTCAGTGGGGTGGTGGGCTGAACCGGTACTGTGGGTAAGAAGCAAAAATTGCACAGAAATTAGATTAGGAAAATAGTTCATTTAAAAGGTAGATTGGCTGGGCTCAGTGGCTCAGCCTGTAATCCCAGCACTTTGGGAGGTGGAGGTGAGGGGGCTGCCTGAGCTCACGGGTTCGAGACCAGCCTCGGCAACTTGGTGAGACCTCATCTCTACAATAAATCGAGAAATAAATTAGCTAGGCATGGTAGTGCTTGCCTGTAGTTCTGGTTACTTGGAAGGCTGAGGCAGAAGTATCACCGGAGCCCAGCAGGTTGACGCTGGGGTAGCCGTGAGTGTGCCACTGCACTACAGTCTGGGCGACAGAGTGAGACTCCAACCAAAAAAAGGTAGATTAGAGAGAGAGGGTAAATCGCTTCTCCAAGATGGAGACAGGGACAGAACTTAAAGAAAGCAATGGCCACGGCTGCTTGAGGCTGAATGCTTTTTGAAGCTTTTCTTTGGTAGCAGGTGATTGGGTGGTGGTCTGTTTTATGTCATTATAAAGTGGGTAGGTAAGCACAGAAACTGTCACCATGGTGATGGGGTCTGTCTCTCACCTCCCTGACAACTGGATTGACGGGTGGGCCAGTCACATAGATGGGAGGGGCAATTCTTTAGGAGATGTTAATGTCAATGTCTTGTGACTGGCCCAGGGTTCCAGGAAAAAATTATTGGGAAAGGTTTATTGTCGTGTATGAGCTCAAGGAGACAAAAGAAATTCTGTTTTGGGCTCTGTCCTTTCATTAGGTGTTCCCAACCCCCGGGGCTGCCGACTGGCACTGGTCCATGGTCGATGAGGAACCTGGCCGCACAGCAGGAGGTGAGCAGGGGCAAGGGGAGCATCATCTTCTGTCAGATCAGTGCGGCACTAGATTCTCATAGGAGGGTAAACCCTATTGTGAACTGTGCATGGGATCTAGGTTGCGTGCTCCTTATGATGTCCATGGAAAAATTGTCTTCCACTAAACTCTTCCTGATGCCAAAAAGGTTGAAGACCTCTGTGGTAGGGGATCAATTCCACATGGGGAGTGATTTTACCCCCCAGGGGTATTTGGCAATGACTGGAGACATTTATGGTTGTCAAGACTAGGGCTGACCACAGAGGTGCTAAATATCCTGAAATGGACACTACAGTTGCCACAGGAAAGAACTATCCAGGTCAATTGTCTGTGGTGCTGAAGCTGACAAACCCCATGTCAGAGAAGGCAAAGTAAGTTCCGATTCAAGGCCCTGCTGTGCCAACAAGTAGTCTGCATCGATTGTTAATCATAGTAGATTTGTGAGTTTGGGGGGGGGGGACGGAGAACTTATGCCACTCTCATTTGAAGCTGAGGTGCAGGGAAGAAGGGGATTTTCCCACATGAAGCATCATTGAGTCAGGTACCTGCGATCTTTCTAGAGGGCTGTAGTGGCTGGACAGGTGGAGCACTCTTCACTGCTGGCTCAGGTAGGACCACCCGACTACCCAAGTCCTTGAAAGTCCTTTGAAGGAGCAGGATAAAGACATGGATTCTTATGTCTGCGATCTTGTGACTCCCAGATGTGCTGAATAGTGTCTCTCAAAAATGCTACTGAAGAAACCCTTGGAGTCTGAAACTCAGAATCCAAGAATCATGCAAGAAGCAAACTGTAGAACAGAAACACATCGGAGTTTCATTCTACAAGTGCAGTGCCCCCCAGTGAGCAGCTGAGGTGACCCGAGGTGCTGAGAGATTTGGGGAGGCAGTGCCAGGGTGAGATATATCCCTTTGACCAAGTATCTCGAGGACTGTTTGAGATGAGGTTACCCTGCTCTGAGAGCATGGGTTTCCAGTTGGTGCCAGATGGGACTTGGCGCATCTGGTCAGGTCAGGTGACATCAGGCAGCTAAGTCACTTAGCTCTGAGTCTAGGCTCAGCAAACAAGCTTTTCACTAGTTTGATTTTCCACAGTGTATTGAATTAAAAAATACAGCTCCACTGTTATGGAGCCCGGTCTATGCCAGGCATGGTGCCAGGTGTCCAGTGGTGAGTGTATAGCTTATTTCCCCTTATCTGTCCCTAATAGAGGACAGAGGTAAGGAAACAAGTAATTACAGTATTGCATGTTCAGTGCTATGACTTGGAAGTAGAGGCACACCAGGAGCATTCATGTAGACCAGGAGTGTTAGGAAAGACTTACTGGAGGAATTGATAAAACTGAGACCTACAGACTGGCTAAAGAAAGGGTTTTAAAAAAATGATTCCAGGAAGATAGAATAGGATGTGTGATGATCAGGAGGAAAGTTTCTCATTGTAAATATAAATTGTAAATTGACATTGTAGCTTTTATATCGTGTTCTCTTATAAGTTGGATTAGTATGAGTCAGTCCCTTAGGGTTTGGTCACTTCTTGATACAGTGGCAAAATTGATTCTCTTAGCCTATACAGCTGAGGATGAGATCAGGGAGCATGCTGGGTCCCTGTGTGGTCGAGAAGATCCTCCCACACAATACTCCCTGCTTTTTTTTTTTTTTAAGCATGGTTATTCGAATTGCAGTAACAGTTCTTTTTTTTTTTCAGTCACCCAAGCTAGAGCGTAGTGGCACAGTCACTGCAGCCTCAACCCACTGGGCTCAGGAGATCCTTCCACCTCAGCCTTCCAAGTAGCTGGAGTGACAGGCATACACCACCATGCCTGGCTGATTTTTTTATTTATTGTAGAGATGAGGTCTCGCCATGTTGCTCAGGCTGGTCTCAAACTTCTGAGCTCAGGCAGTCCTCTCACCTCCGACTCCCAAAGTACTGGAATTACAGGCATGAGTCACTACACCCTGCTCAACAGTTCTTAAATATTTTGTGTTGGGAAGTTTATTCATGGTGGGTTGAAGATAGGCTCGATGTCATTTGAGCTAGAATTTTCTTCAAAATACTGAACACTGGGTGGGCATGGTGACTCGTGTCTATAATCCCAAGTGCTTTGGGAGGCCAAGGCAGGAGGATCAGTTGAGGTCAAAGGTTCAAGACCAACCTAGGTAATATAGGGAGACTGCTATCTTTAGAGAAAAAGAAATTAGCCAGGTGTGGTGGTGATGACCCTAATCCCAGCTACTCAAAAGGCTGAGGCAGGAGGATGACTTGGGCCCAGGAGGTTGAGGCGGTAGTGAGCTGCGAGGTGTACTCCAGCCTGGGTGACAGATGAGGCCCTGTCTTTCAAAAATAAATACAGAAAAAATGTTTAAAAATTAAATAAAAAGCTGAACAACAGTGTTCTCCACGCTGTCAGGAATGGTCTAGTAATCAGACGGTGATGGGCACATCCATGTCCCAGAGAGGGGTCACAGGCTTTTCCAGGATTCTGTCATCCTTATTTCCACCCACAACATTAACTCTTTCATTCACACCCTGGACATCATCTGCACACATGGCACACCCAGCTAGCGACTACCTTTGTAGGGAAACTGGGACTGTCTAGATCCCCTTCACCTGCATCTAACATGAAATTGCTACCCTCAAGGATCGTCAAGTAGATATTCCTGGCATTTGCCACTTCATTGTATCTGTTTTGTGGCTTCTGTTAGTTTGTTTCATGGTCTCCATGGACTCATTCATGTATTAATAATAGCCAACAACTATGGACTGCTTCCTCTGTACCAGGCTCTGTGTACCAGGGTCTAAGTGCTTTACGTGAATTAATTCTTCCTCATAACAACTCAAAGAGGTGGATGCCATTCATGTCCCCAAGGTTCACACATAGGTGGGTACTAGGGTTGGGGTTCCCGCCCTCATGCCCAGAGCTCACCCACTTTCTCTGCTGTCCCTTGCTCTGTCCATACCTGGGTCACCATTCCCATAACTCTTGCATGTCTTCAGTGTTCCCTGTGTTGTCTGGTGCCCAGGGGCTCTCAGTGTGTTCCACTGGCTTAGTGAATGGACAAGAGCTGTGCAGAAATGCCCCGTCCAGATCCCTCAGACGTGGGCTTGTGTGGCACGAACAATCCCAGCCACTAACACAGTTCTTAAAAAATGCAGTGTCAACACACCCACGCCAAGAGCAATGCAAAGTCACTGAAATGTGCTAAAGTGATGAGAGAAAAAAATCTTTATGGTCTTTCCCAACCCAAACTCCTCTTTTAAATACTTGTTAGAAAACTTTGCTAGTAAGACAAGAAAGTAACTGTTCGATTTTTTAGTGTGGGTTTGTTTTTTAGAATCCTTTCAGATTTTGATAGCACTTAAGAGACTACCTTCATTTTATTGATTGATTGATTGAGTTGGGGGCCTCACTTTGTCACTCAGGCTGGAGTACAGTGGCACAATCATGGTTTACTGCAGCCTTGACCTCTCTAGCTCAGGCAATCCTTCTTCCTCAGTTTTTTTGTGTAGTTGGAACTACAGGTGTGCACCATCATGCCTGGCTAATTTGTATGTAGAGATGAGGTCTTACTTGGTTTCTCAGGCTGTTCTTGAACTTCTGGGCTCAAGCAATCCTCTGGCCTTGGCCTCCCAGATGCTGGGATTACAGACATGAGCCAGTATACCCGGTCACTACCCTCACTTTAAAAAGAGAAACAATTAGCCGGGTGTGGTAGCGCACGCCTGTAGTTCCAGCTACTTGGAAGGCTGAGGCTGAAGGATCGCTGGAGCTCAGCAGGTCGAGGCTGTGGTGGCCGGGAGTGGCCGCTGCACTCCAGTCTGGGCGACAGAGTGAGACTCCAACTCAAAAACAAAAACACACACACACACAAAAAACCAAAACAATAAATAAATAAATAAATAAATAAAAAGAGAAACAACTCGGGTTCACCTGGAGCTTGGAGAAAACAGTGGCCATTTATGACTGGGGAATCTTCCAGGCTCTGAGCAAAGCCCATGGAGTAGCGAGACCCATGGAATAGCGAGGTCCCACGGAGTAGCCAGATCCATGGAGAAGCCCAGTCATGCTTCTCTCTCACACCTTTCACGTGCCTTGAAAACAGATCTTCAAAGACAGACTCTGAATCTCTTTTGATGCTTTTATTGACAATTTGAGCACAACCTCAGACATAGTTGTCAGACATTTCTTAACACACTTCAAAGAAAAATAAAAATTCTTCTACAAAGATTTTATTTCTATTCTTCTGACATATTCATATTTTTGTTACATCCTTCATGCTCAAATAATATTGTTTGTGATTCATGTTCATGCACAGCGGCTGTTTTTTCTCTAACTTATTTTGAGAATCACTGCCCTATTCTGAAAGAAAAATAAGTCACCACCACCATGAAAGAATGAGAGACTGTGCTGGGTGGCAAACCAGCTTTAGGGGGCCTGAGTGTGCCTGAGTATCAGGCATCACAAGACTCAAATACCACACAGATCTGGAAGGAGGCGATAACATTAGAAAAAAGTCATGGAAGATACAAAATGCTGTGTGATACATAACCAAAAGGAGACACCTGGTTGTCACATCAAGCCCGCATAAGGAGCTGCAGCTTTGTGGGATTGTCAGTGACACAATTCAGGTCCTGGGGTCTGGACTCAATGTGGGTACAAGTCGTTGGGATGTGTCGGCTTGTGCCTGGTGAACTTTTTTGCACATGACAGACATTGCTCTCTCCATGGTTTCTACATGCTCTTGGGGCTTCATGACACAGGTGTGGCAGCTGTGAGGCCATGTCAGAGTACGGGGGTTTCCTGATGGGGTGAAGCCAAATGAGGCTGTTATAGACTCTGTCTCGCCACTACACAGTGCCTTTGAGGAGACAGGACTGTCACTGGATGGTGGGAAGAAATGGATTATCTGAGGCAGTTAGGGAAAGATGAACAGGAATCCTTGGGATATGAGCTGGAACATTTCTGCGCTCATGCCCTCTCTTCCCACCAGCAAGGACTTCTGGTTCTATGTCTACAAAGGGAAGCCCTGTTATTAATTTCATAATTTTCAGTCTCAAAACCCAAAAGGGACTCCATGTGCTAGTGAGACTCTTGGCTCCCCAGCTATGCTCACGATCTTCTGAGAAGTCAGAAATTCAATAAGAACAAAGCATATTGGTTGCTTTTTCTCATCTGTCTACTGTGCAGAAGGGAATGCAGTTTGTAGCATCGAGTGTCAATCTTTCTGATGTGTTGTGAATGCCTCAAAAAAAGCTGAAAGTCTGATCAACACTCAGATTCGATCCATGTTAGTAGGAGTTAACGGGAGTTCCTGTGAGTTTGTTGTCCTCAGAACCCTCATGGGTGTGCAGAGCTCTCTGGGACTTGTTGATCAGGGGACAGAGGTGGTATACAGAAGGTGCATAAACCCTTCTTACTGAGAGAGTCAGACATGCTTTCATTTTGATAGTCCTGGAAGCGCTCCCTTTAGAGATTCTAATTGAATAGTGTTCACTTTTGTTAAGATTGAATATCATTATGAAATCATTCCTAAACCTGTCTCCTTTTAGGCCTTTTATTCATTACATTTATAATGAAGTCCAGTGTTAGCTGAATCTCCAAGCTGCAAAATGACTATGTACTCAAAATCAAATTATAGACTTTGGAATATTTTCAGAGAAACAATTGCTTTCTAAAGTTGCCAATAATTAAAGGGAATGAACATACATGAAGTTTTGATTTCTTCCTTGTAAATCAAACATTCAATATTCAAATTCCCTTTCATCATTTCTTACTTAGTTGACAAGCTGACTTATGCACAGTTGATATTTCATCAATGCAGTTTACAAAAATAGAATTCTTAGGGATAAATAAATATTTTTGACTATCGCCTGGGGTTCTTTGGGAATAAAATGCTCTCTGAAAATTTAAATCAGAACATTACTCTCAAAGCTGTGAATATAGTTTCGGGAACACATGGCCATCAGTATCACAGGGAACCATGGACAACAGGTCCCCAAATGATTCCTCACCTTGCAATAACTTCTTCAAGTATTTACGGAAGGCATAGTGCAGGAGATTTAACCTGAGAGATCTCTCCTGGTACTGAGTGGCCAGACTTGGATTCCTGCAAGAGTGACCCACAAGAGATGCACAAATGTACTTTCATCTGTGTCTTCAGATTTGTGTGACCGGAGCCTGAAAACACTTCTTGCTGGTGTCACCGTGGGTTCTGCTGTTTTTCACAGAAACAGTAAGAGAGATCCAGGGGCTGCTTGGGTCATGTTGCTTTTGTGATTTTAGGAAGAATTGAAGTGTGTGTGTGTGTGTATGTGTGTGCATGCGTGCATGCACGTGTGTGTGTAAGGAAGTCACAAATGAAGGGAAGACATGGTGCCTGGTTAGTGTGTGTGCATATGTGTGTGCATGTGCATATATGTGTGTGTGTGTAAAGAAATCGCAAATAAATGGAGGACATGGTGTCTGTTTCCCCCAGACTGGTGCAGTAGAGCGTCCCAGCTACACGTCGAACCAGTGGTCCCCCATGCAGGCGCGGTTCCACTCACAGCCACAGTTCCAGCACCACTCGAGCCTGCACTGGGGCTGCGGACACTTCATGTGCATGCATCCTCCTGTGGGGATAAAGGACATGGTGTGGTGGGTCGACAGCAAACACCTGGAAAACACGTGTTTCCACACTAACATGCTATTCTAGAAATGACTATCTGAGTGAATGATCAAAGCAGCACAAGAACAGAGAGGATCTGAACTGAGGGAAAAAAATCAGAAAGCACAACAGACAGTTCTAAAGTCATGACATTCATTAAGAAATGGACTGAGCTCAGAGGCTCGTATCTGTAATTCCAGCATGTTGGGAGGCTGAGGGAAGAGGATCGCTTGAGCCCAGGAGTTTGAGACCAGCCTGGGCAACATAGTAAGGCCAAGTCTCCACCAAAAAATTTTTTAAAAAATTAGCCAGACGTGGTGGGGTGTGCCTGTAGTCTCAACTACGCAGGAGGCAGAGGCGGAAGGATCACCCGAGCCTAGGAGGTTGAGGCTGTAGTGATCATGCCACTGCACTCAGCCTGAGTGACAGAGTAAGAACCTGACAAAAAGAAAAGAAAAGAAATTGAACCACATCACTTTCATCAAGAATGCATTTTCTTTGTAAATCTGACGTTATTCTCATGAAATGGGATGTAGAAACAAACGTAGAGACAGACAGGGTCAATTCCCCATTTAAATATATTAAAATACATTAAATATAATATTTTAAGTATATACATGATATGATAACTTAATCACTTAATCTAATGTATAATAACAGGCATATTATGATTACTTTTTATCATTTTTATGTTGCTACTTGGCTTAGAAACATTCATAAAGCAGGAATGGGGACAGCACACTACTTTGAATAGGGATTGGTCCTTGATACCAGCCCAAATTTCATTTATGATAAGGGGACTAGAAAGAACTAACCAGTAATGCTAGGTGCTCTTCCCATTTGTCTCATTGACCTCTTTGCGCCACCTTGAGATAAGAGCACTGTCTGTTGTAGAATTTCCTCAAGGTAAAGCACTGTCAAGGGGTGAAGTCTGAGACTTCCCCAGGATTTAAGTGGCTTTGATGCTCTTTCTTTCCCAGAATGGGGCCTCTTACCATGTGATGCAAGTCTCTTATGTTGGGACTATTTTAGTGTTACTCATTCCCACACTTGTTAAATCTAGACCCCATTTGTTTCCGGGGTAAAGAAGCCAAGTCTGCCATGAAGTGAGGAGGAAGTGATTTGTTCAAGGTCTTATGTAGAGAACTATTTCTGACCGAATTTCCTAAATCATCCGGGCAATAACCATGACTTTGCTTGAATCCTACATACAGTTGAATGGGCTACATCCTTCACTTTTACCAATTATCTTGCTAATTCACTTTCTTGCCAAATTTTCCAAGTAATAGTTTCTGTGCTGTCTCACTTTTATTACTAGAAACCTGGTATGAGAACTTCCACAAATTTAACCTATTTATGGATATGTAGCGATAGACATTTGTTTTAGCATGACTTACATATATTTCAAATCCCCTATTTTCTACTTCTTTCTGGTTTGTCTTAAAGATTATAAACAATTGCAGATGTGTGGATGATGAAGGAGAAAACGAATGACACTTTTATCTTAATATTTTCCATTTAGGAGTGTGTCATTTTCAACATATATTTAGTGGTTGTAAACTTACGATGTAAATTATATAATAAAATAGTGTGAGTGTGATACTGTAAAATCACTTAAGTTTCTCTAAAATATACAAAATTATTGCATAATACACTAAACTCAGTAAATGTTAAAGAAACTCTAAATGAAAAGGTGAGAATGTTTTCCTATTGTGATATCACATACAGGGGGTACCAAAAAATGTATACACATTTTAAGCAATGCTATCCATGTATTACTTTTCGAAATTGAATTAAATTAGCAACGTGTAGTATGACACTCACTCAACCATGCTTCTGTCATTTTCTTTGACTGGCTTTGCCTGTCGCATGGTGATGCTTGCTTTCATTTTATCTGCAGTTCCTGGCTCCTAATTCCCATAGTCCTTGTCACTGTCTTTTGTTATAAAGTTGGGGCACTTTAGGCCTCTCAGAAGACAGAATCTAACCTCCCCTTGCCTTCTTTTCACCAGTCCAAGACAGTTCTAATTCTTCCCTGCTCTTCTGATTGTGGGTTATAAAATGCTCATCCCAGAGGGGTCTTGCCCATACCCTGAAGGAAGGAATGCTGCACAAAGAGGCCAAGAAGAAGAACAGACAGGCTTGAGGAGCTTCCCTCCCCAGGCTACAGCAAGTCCCCTACATTAGAATGAGTTCTGTTCCAAGAGCATGCTCGTAAGTCCAATTTGTTCCTAAATCCCACAGAGTTAACCTAGGGACCCAACTAACACAATTGGCTCTATAGTACTGTACTGTAATAGGTGTACAATGCTTTTCACACAAATACTACATAAAAAACAAACATGAAAAATAAATAAAATATTTTTAATCTTATAGTACCACATGTGACAATGTGCACTAGACATGTGAACTAACCTACATGATTGGACATATAAACACATGTTCCCACCTTTGAAAGTTCATAACTTAAAGGTTCGTATGTAGGGGACTTACTGTATTAGCATTAGATGCTACCCTTTTGTCCAGTCACATTGGACACAGTTGTCCGTGCCTCAATCAGGGCTCAGGGAGATTCTGAATAGCAGAAAACATGAGGTTCCTGGAGGGGGCACACCTGGGGAGGGCATGGAGGCTCTGTGCCCCTTCCCCCATACATTGCCCTATGCATCTCTTCATACATATCCTTTGTAATAAACCAGTACATGTGTCTCCCTGAGTTCTGTGAGCTGCTCTAGCAAATTAATCGAGCCCAAAGAGGGGGTTGTGGGAACCCCAACTTGAAGCCAGTTGGTCAGAAGTTCTGGAGACCCAGACGTGAACGGGTGCTTGGTAGTCTTGTGGGACTGAGCTCTTACTCTGTGGGATCTGATGCTATCTCCAGGCAGTGCCAGGATTGAATCGGAGGACACTTGCTGGTGTCTAGTGTAGAACCGAAAGTCCCACACATTTGGTCATGGAAGTCTTCTGTGTTGATGGTTATTGTTGAATGAGAGAACAGGAAAAGCATGTTGTGTGTTGTTTCTTCCATACCTAGACCTATGATATCAAAATTTTAGTGTATCTGGGATAGTAGTATCGTAAATAAGATTTTCTATAGGGACTGAGCATGGTGCTTCACACCTGTAATCCCAACACTTTGGGAGGCTGAGGACAGAGGATTGCTTGAGCCCAGGACTTCGAGCCCAGCCTGGGCAACATAGCAAGACCTTGAATCTACAAAAAAAAAATATCCAGGCATAGTGGTGCATACCTGCAGTCCCAGCTACTCAGGAGGCTGAGGCAGGAGGATCACCTGAGGCCAAAAGGTCAAGGCTGTGGTGCTATTGTACTCCAGCCTGGGTACAGAGTGAGACCTCAACTCAAAAAGAAAATTATAGAAACTAGAATCACAATGACATGGTAGAATAAGAAGAAAGGAAATAGGAAGAGAGGATATTCACATTATTAACGTTCCTTCCTTCCTAGTACTTAATATATGCAAGGTTACTGCTGGGTCCTGCAACATGGAGGAGCATCCAGGGCCGTAATCCTAACAGCTTTGCCAGCTTAAAGGTACATGCAAACAGGAAATTGCTGGCCTCTTCATCCTAACCTGTGGATGCTGACAGGAAGGGAATATGGCATCCCTCGTTATGAATTCTGTCTGCAGACTGACACTCAAACTCTGAGATGCCCAGCCTACGCCAAGAGGAGAAATCTCGATTCTGGTCAACATCTCTTCTATCAGACTTAATGAAAAGTCCCTCAACAGCTGGAAGGCAAGTTTAACTGACAACACACACTCGCTGATCAGAGAATGGAGCCAGAATCTCATCTGTTTGAGATGGAAGGGAGGGGAGAACTTTCTGGAGATTGGAGGAGATTACAGGGGAAAATGCCAAGGTTTGGCCTATATTTAAAGTGGAAATTACTCTTATTATAATTTCAGCTTAGCTGAAGGAAGAATGGCTTTCCCGAAATATGACTGATAAGGAAACAGGCCACAAGCCTAGATGAAAACTAGGTAACAAAATGTCCTTGGTAACAAAGGTCATGTCTATTTCAGTTATAGTGATGCATGTTAAAACAGTTTAGACTGGACCAGGTGCAGTGGTTCACACCTGTCATCCAAGCACTCTGGGAGGCCAGGGCAGGAGGACCACTTGAGGCTAGGAGTTTGAGACCAGCTTGGGCAACACAGCAAGATTCTGTTATTGCTATAACTGCAGCTCCTGTGTGTCTGGGAACACCAATATCGGGGGCTTCCTACACACACCCTGAGAGTGTTTCATACCCCAGTGCCTTTGCCTGTGTCATCCCAGGGGTCTAAGATGTTTGCTCTCCCTCTTTCCAGCCTGGCTATTTCTGCTAATTCTTCAATTCTTGGCTTGGCATTATCTCTTCGAGGAAGCCTCCTCCTAACTCGGGGCCTCTGTGCTCTGATGACTTGTCTCCTCTATGATATTTTATTAAAAATTTCTGTTTGCATGTCTATCTCCCTTACTGGCTAAGTTTTACTTCAACAAATATTTATTGTCTGGGCTCAGGGCATAGTTAGACAAGGTCCCTGACTTCATGGGCTTATGCTTTCATGGCGTGACAGACAGGAGACATGGAATGGACAAATCAAAGAATGAATTTGGAGGGTGTCAGTACTATGAGGTCATTATCACACAGACCGGTGTGCCTGATTGGTAAAGGAGGCTGAAGACACTAAGGTGGAAACTGGTGCCCAAGAAGTGTATTTAGGGCTGGGCAGAGGGAGCTCAGCTCAGACACAGCCTGGGGGAGGCCTCTGGGGGCCCTTTGGGGCCACCTGAGTTTAATTAGTGGTTTGGGAATGGTGACCCCCTCACCAACAGTAGCGGGAAGTGGGCTCCCCTGTGGGAGGGCAGGGGCCCTGAGCTAACGCTTTTCATCACAGGTGATTTTACAGAGGGCCAAGGGCCATTCACTGACCCCACTATCTGCTGATGGGACAACAGTCCTTCTGTCCTCGAGGGGGTCAGGATGGTGTCAGCAGCACCCATAACAGCAGGGCAGGTCTCAGACAGGCTGGCAAGGGGTGATCTTCTGGAGGAAAGGTCACCTGAGCTGGGATCTGGAGTGGGCCCTGGGAAGTGAGGCTGCATGCGTATTCTAGAGAAGAGGCCAGATGTACTGAGGCCTGAGGAACCACATGAAGTGGGGGCAGGAAACTGACTGTAAAGAATGTAGCCCGGTATGGTGGAGTATGCCTATAATCCCAGCTACTCGGGAGGCTGAGGCGGGAGAACCCTTGAAACAAGGAGTTCAAGACCAGCCTGGGCAATACAGAAAGACTCCAACGCTAAAAAACTTAAAAAAAAAGAGAATGTTGTTCCAGTGCCATGGGAGACCATGGGAGGGGAAGGACAGGATTGGCTGAGCCTTTGAGAAGTCCACTTTGTTGTCTACACAGAGGATGAGTCAAGAGTTAAAGTGAAGAGCCCCTGGTGGAGGTTGTGCTGGGAAGAGAACAGGAGGGTGGACTTGGAGACAAAAGTGGGCAGACATGTTGGGTCAGAACATGTGTCAGGGCATTGATGGCGGGGGCTGCAAAGGAGAAGGGGTGAAGGATGAGCCTAAGACCCCCTGAGGTGCTGCTCACTATGGAGGGCCATGCTCTGGGAAGGAGGGGTTTCCTCAGGGGCAACAGGTGTTCCACATTGTTACACCTGAGACACCTGTTGGCATATGGACAGTCCTTAAGGCCACAGGCTAGGGCCATGCATTGGATGCATCACAGGGTGGCATCCCTCAAGGGCCCCATAAGGTGACAGTGAATGTCCAGCCAACCTGGACTTCACAGAGAAACAGAAGGTGACAGGTTCAGGCTCATGGACATGCTTCTCTCCTTCGCACTTCCAAAACCAGAGCTTGGCCACTGTGGTCCCAACTCCCACAGACCCTCGGGAAAATGCCCCCACCTTCCCTACCTTTGACGTCCCTTGGGATTGGAAACCATGGGTGAGTATTTATGGGGCTCCCTAATTTTCCCCCTCACTCTCAGCAGAGACCCAAGACAGGGACCTGCCTGATTTTTATTTATTCTTTTTTGAGTTGGGGTCTCACTCTGTCACCCAGGCTGTGGCACAATCACAATGATCATGGTTCAAGACAGCCTTGACATCTTGGGCTCAGATGATCCTCCTGTCTTAGCCCCCCAAGTAGCAGGGACTACAGGTATGCACTACCATGCCTGGTTAATTTTTCTTATTTTTTGTAGAGACAAGGCCTCATCAAGTTGCCCAGGCTGGTCTCAAACTTCTGGGCTCAAGTAATCCTCCTGCCTTGGCCTCCAAAACTGCTGGGATTACAGGTGTGAGCCACTGTGCATGGCCTGATTTTTATTTATTCTTTTTCTCTGGTTATACTTCATGAATATTTATTATAGTAAAGCATAAGAAGAAATGAAGTCCTTCCTTGATTCCATTATGCCTAGAACCACCCACTGTGATATGCTGACACTTTGTCTCCAGTCTCTTTCTTTTCCCTTCCATACACATATTTCAGAACAGATATCACGTGTCACTTGATTTCGGAATGCCAAGTTCTCATATAGGATGAATTGTAAGCTCATCCCTCAATGCTTTTGCAACTTCTTCACTGAAATGAAACTTGACACCCTGGACAACATAGTGAGACCTAGGTGCATGCCTGTAGTTCCAACTACTTGGGAGTCTGAGGTGGAAGGATCACCTGAGCCCAGGAGGTTAGGGCTGTGGTGAGCTGTGATCGTGCCACTGCACTCCAGCCTGGGTGACAGAGTGAAACCTCGACTCAGGGGGGAAAAAAAAGGAAGGAAGAAAGAAAGAGAGAGAGCTCTGTGAGTGCTGGCTAAGACAGCTTTAAACTGGGTGATGTGTCCAGGATGGACAGCAGCAGGGTCTCCATAGGTCACACAAGCAACAGGACACAGGAAGGCTTCAGAGCTTAGCTTTGGGTCATGTCACAGAGCTGTGGAAAGCTACATAATAATGGCTACAGAAAATGTGGCCACACGGTGCAGCCATCAGAGCAGGGGACAGTCACCGAAAGGAAGGAAAACTCACAGCTACCACCACCCACCAGTCGTCCACCCTTGACCACACCCAACATCTTGGTCCCATTTTCTGTGTTCCTTTTCCAACCACGCAAATGTTAACTGTCCACCTAACAGTCATGGAACTCACTCATGCAATACTTTTATGTCACAAGAACAGTAATAACGATGACAGGGAGCATGCATACTCTACATGACTGGCACTCGACATACAGTATCCCACTGAATCCTGGAACCCCTGGCTGTTATAGCCATGTTACCCCCGTGCAGCTAACACTCACCACAAACAGCCTGTGACACCCTTACTTTCTGCTCAGTGCTGACTCACCATTTTTTTCAACAGGCACGTGGCAGCGTGGACAAGGCTTGGTAGTCTTCTTGATGATGTCCTTGGAGGCCTCTTCCCAGCGAGCTTGCTCCGCCGCCCTCTCATCAACCCCATAGGCCTGGGCAAGAAGAGGTAGAAGGAGCTCAGACTCAGATCTCAAGGACTGGGACTGAAGTCTAGGTTCCCCGAAGTGCTGGGATGGGAAACGCTTAAAGACGGAAGTGCCTTCAGACAGGAAGTACAAATATAGACTCACTTGCCCAGGGTTGGACAGTGACTCGCCGGATAGGGACAGTGTTCTTGACATGTGGCAGATGCTTGCAAGCTGGGAATAGACTGCTTGGTTTTATGGGTTTTCTATGCTGTTGTTTTGCATCATTGTAATAAATGACATCTATCAGGTGCTTATTGGGCAGGCAAGGTGGTCAGTGCTTATATACACATTGCAGTGGACCCCTGTCTGGTGTGGAGTGAGTAAACCAGTTTTGATCTTACACTGAGGCTTGGACCAGGGAAACAATGACCCAAAGTTGGTAGGTAGGATAGGAGAGTCACTATGACCCCAGAATGCTTTTTTGTTTTTTGTTTTTTTTTTTTGAGCTGGGGGACTCACTGTCATCCAGGCTGGAGTGTAGTGGTATGAGACCAGGTCTTGCTATGTTGCCTAGCTGATTTCAAACTCCTGGGCTCATGTAATCCTCCTGCTTCAGCCTCCCAAAGTACTGGGATTACAGGTATGAGCCACTGTGACTGGCCAGGATGCTTGCTTTGAAACTTTTCTCTACATCTTGTCGTCCCTCCTTCTTGCACAGGAAAATGGGGATTCCAAATGACGTCACAGAAGGAAATGAAGTTTACGTGATGGAGAAGGCAGTGGGAATTGGGAACAGCCAGGGGTTGAGGTTGTGAGCTCTGAACCAGCTATCTGAGTTCAAATCCCAGCTCTACCCAGGTGGGTGATTCTGGGAACATTCCCTAACCTCCCTGACAGTTCTCATCACTTAGATGGAAATAAAAAATGCCCCATGCCTTGGGGGTGTGGAGGGTTCTCGAGCGGATTTATTCAGAGGCTCAGAATGATGACAGCATGGCCAGTTCACCATGTTCGCTAACATTTTATCTATGTCACCGAGACAAGGAGTCCACACTACCACCTCTTCATAAGTTTTCTTTTTTTTTTTTAGAAAGCAGGATTTATTGAAAGGACAGAAAAGCTCCCACAGTGGTAGGGGACTCAAAGGGGTTGCCCCTATTGGGGACTGGCCATGCTCTGGCCCTGTGGCCCCAGGGAGCAGTCATCCTCTGATGACCACAGCCACTGACACCCCAGACTAGGTGTGAATCTTTCACCAAAAACACAATCTCACTTTTGTCATTTCACTTTCAGATTCTTTTTGAGTTGTAGTCTCACTCTGTCTCCCAGTCTGGAGTGCAGTGGCATGATCACAGCTCACCACAGCCTCAACCTCCTGGACTTAGGAGATTCTCCTGCCTGGGCCTCACGAGTAGCTGGTACTACAGGCACATGTCACCACCTGGCTAATTGTATGATTTTTTTTTTTTTACAATGATGTGGACCACAGACTCGAGTTGCCTAGGGCTGATTGCTGGGGTGAGAGGGTGGGGGGGGAAACCAACTCCATTTATATTAATTAGCCATCACATTCACAAAGGAAAGTCCTTTGATAACTCAAAGTGTGTCATGTGACTTCTGAATCCTTTGCTGAAATAACACTGAGAACAACCTTAGGCTCTGGGACCTCACAGGTGGTCAAGAGCTCCAGCCATATGCCGTGGCAGCCAGGACCATTCCATGACTTAGTCACTAGATAGGTGTCTTAACTCCACATTCTCCAACCACCTCAGAACCACGTGTGGTCCCAGCCCTCAGTGACACGCAGCAAACACCCCCCACCCCATGTACACCCCCAGCCCGGCCTGCCTCACCTTCCACATTTTTCTTCGTAAGGCTTAGGAGTTTTTAGTTCTGCAGCAAGGATTGAAAATTGCTTCCTGGGGGCAGGTTTCTCAGTCATACAGATAGAAGAAAAATATGATTTTACTTTTTTGTTTCCCTTTTTTTTTGGACTTGGGGTCTCACTCTATCGCCCAGGCTGGGGTGCAGTGGCACAATCATGGCTACTGAAGCCTTGACCTCCTAGGATCAGATGATCCTTCCACCTCAGCTTCCCAAGTAGTTGGGACTACAGGTATGTGTCCCCATGCCTGGCTAATTATATGATTTTTTTTTTGAGTTGGAGTTTTACTCTTGCCCAGGCTGGAGTACCGTGGCACACCACACTCACAGCCACCGCAGCCTCTACCTGCTGGGCTTAGGAGATGCTTCCTATAGCTGGAACTACAGGTGCGTGCTACCATGCCTGGTTTATTTTTTGATTTATTGTAGAGATGAGGTCTCACCAACTTGCCCAGGCTGGTCTCGAAACCCCGGGCTCACAATCCTCTTGCCTTGGCCTCCCAAAGTGCTGGGATTACAGGCTGAGCCACCACGTCTGACCTTTTTTTTTTTTTTTTTTTTTCAAAGACGAGTCCTTATTATATTGCCCAAGCTGGTTTTGTACTCCTGGGCTCAAACGATCCCCCCACCACCTCCGCCCCCGCCCTGGCCTTCCAAAGTGGGAGGATTACAGACGTGAGCCACTGTGCCTGACTTCCTTGGTGACTTCTAAGAGAACAGTTTTAAAACAACTTGTGGCAAAGGGGCAGCGGGAGAAACTGCCCCATCCTGACTGACCCACTGCCCCTAACACCTGCGGGCCACCTTCCTCTGGGTAACACAGCCATCAAGAAGGCCCTGGTAGTCCCCATCCCCTCCCCAGCACCAGCTATTCTTGCTGCTTCCTACTCTCATCCAGCAGGTCTTGAGGAAGAAGGGAGTCCTGGAGCCAGCACTGCTGGCCATCTGAGACACACAGCTCTAGAATGTTCTGCTAGTGAGCTACCTGCGCCAGGTGACTGTTTAGACCTTTGATGGCTACTTTCCAGATTCATTTCTCCCGAGATGTGCACATCTTTGCTCAGCATCCCTCATGAGTGTCTGAATGCTGACGTTCAAGTCCTTCTGGAATGATCTAGTGTGGCCCATCTGGTCAGCACGACCCAAGTGATTTTCAGATGACTCCAATTCTTGTGCTCATATCCTGGGTGGAGATTTGGATTCAGAAGGTCTGGGTTTGGGTCTCGAAATCAGAATCCTTAAAAGTACCACCAGGGCTGTGAGGCACAGAAGGCTGGAGACATTTGTCCTCTGGAGGGGAAATCTCACTTTGGGCCTGAAGAACAGCATGATCTGTTAGAGAAACGTACCCTCTGTGGTGGCCTTTGCCATGAAGCCCCAAGGCAGTGCATTGTCATGGTGTTACTAGGAGGGGAAGGTTTTGGTGTGACTCAGTTTCCCCACCCTACAGGCAGCGAAGTGTGGCTTGTACAGGATGGTGGGACAACTGGGTTAATTTCACAGAACCTGCTGCTTGCAGGCAGAGAACTCCATCCTCTATAGGAAGGAACCAGAAGCATCTGTGTGTGTGTGTGTGTGTGTGTGTGTGTGTGTGTGTGTGTGTGTGTGTGTGTACGATGTGGGCAGGATGGGACAAGTCTCTCTTTTTACACATTTCATGACTATGGCAATTTCCTATGAGATACATACATACATATATACGAGAAGAGACGCCAGAACACCAGAATTATTTTTTGGAAGGCAGGTTCCTTATAGTACAGGCTTCCCTCACTAGATAAGTGTTCTAGGAACCCATCGGCATCTGTGTGCCAGCTAGTGTTGTTGTGAGAGGAGGCATGTGGCTTCAGTGAATTGTTTTTGGAGATCCTTTAATGCCATTTGCCCATTTCACGATGGGTGATTTACATAAACAACCTCCTCAAGCTGAGTGTTCAGCAGTTTTTGATCCAAAATGACAAGATCCCCATGTTCCACCCTTCCTTTTCACCCCATTTTGACCCAAGTGACTGCTTCTTGTTTTCCTGGATGAAAAAAAGCCCTCAAAGGGAAACGTTTTGCCAATGTGGAAGAGGTGAAACAAGAAACGGCAGAAGCACTCAAAGGCATCCAAATGGATGAGCTCAAAAACTCCTTTGAACAGTGGAAAAGGCATCAAATGATGAATACTTTGAAGGTGACTGAAGTTTAAATGTGTAAGAAAAATTACACAATTTTGGCCAGGTCCAGTGGTTCACGGCCATGGCAGCCTCAACCTTCTGGGTTCAGGCGATCCTTCCACCTCAACCTTCCAAGTAGCCGGAACTACAGGTACATGCCACCATGCCTGGCTAATTTTTTGATTTACTGTAGAGATGAAGTCTCACCTAGTTGCCCAGGCTGGTCACGTGTGATGATTTTCAAGTGAGCAGAGAAAGGTGTCTGTGCTCTGAGAGGTAGTTAGGGCTGGGCTTTGGAGTTATCGTATGTGTGTGGGGGGGTGAAATCCTAGCTCCCTTAACCCCCGGACAGACCACCTACCCGAAGTCTCCACTTATCTGAGAAAGTGTGATAAATATAGCACCTACTTCACAAAGGTTGTTGTGAGTCAGTAAGGTAAACACACAAAGAGCTTAGCAGAGAGCCTGGTACACCCTGAACTGAAAATCTGTGCTTTTTCTGTGATCACAATCATTATAATTTTGTTGTCATCATTATCATCTCTGCTTTCTAGAAATGGGAATATCAGACTACAAGAGTGTGTATAGATGGAAAAGATCACTGAAGGCCTGGATTGGTTTTAAATCTCCTTAAAAAGACAGACAAATGGTTGGGTGTGGTGGTGCACACCTGTATTCCCACCACATTGACAGCCAGAGGCAGTCACATTGCTTGAGCCCAGGAGTTCGGGACCAGCCTGGATAATATAGTGAAACCCCATCTCTACAAAAAATCATCAGGAATTAGCCAGCTGTGGTGGTGCATGTCTGTAGTCCCGGCTACTCAGGAGGCTGGGGTAGAAGGATTGCCTGAGTCTAGAAGGTTGTGGCTGCTGTGAGCTGAGATCATCATGTTAATATCATTGCACTCCAGCCTGAGCAACAGATTGTGACCCTGACTCAAAATAAATAAATAAATAAATAAATACAGGTAAGCCAACTGTC